CCCTCTGGATTGTTGGCTGTATGCCATGTCTTAATCAGAATGAGGATACCTCAGGGCCTTAAAGGGGTTTTCTCCTCCTTAATGTTCATAGCTTTTTGTGGCTCAATATTACCCGGACTTAGTAGGAATAGTTTTGTACCTTCTTCCCACCCCAAAAAAGCAACAATTTCTCTAATTCCTTTCCTATATAAGGGATACATCCTGACTTGTGGCATCATAGCTGCAAGTAGTAAATGATGATTGGGGTAAAGCAGTCTGGCAGAGGGACGCTGGCGTTTGCCTCCTGGTTTACTATCGTGTTTGTTCTGAGAAGCAACATCGCCACGGAGGGAGATGCCCACTGTTGTGCTTTTCAGAGAGCACAGAAAATTTGCTCATCTCCATTGCCTGCTGGCATTGGGTTTCCTGCAGCTGCTCTCTGTTCTCATTTCATCCTTAATTAGCCTGTCTCGTATTATATATGGCTTGCAAGACACTCCTGCTACACTCAGAAGTTTGACTTTGAATCTTCAAATAAGATCATTCAGCAGATCTAAGTAGGGCATCTCCATCTCCTCTTGGCAGTCGGCAGCGTTTGCTGTTCTGTTCCTCTGCATGTGGTGAGATAGAGCTGCATCTGATGCCTCCTGTGAACGACACGCGGCCTATTATGACATTTCTCATCTCTGAATTCCTGCAGGATCCACAGTCTGTAATGCACTGGCTCATACTGGCTTGTTTTGGAGCAGTTTCATGTGTGAAGAGGCGGGAGCACCGGTGTGTCTCCTTGAGAATCTGACTCAGGGATGGGCAGTGGTGAGCTTAATAAAGGAGGAAATGGAGAGAAACAAGGGGGAAGGTATTATGTCTGCCTTACCTCCCAGATTAGATTGCCGGCTTCTCAGCCCAGAGGTCAAATCTGTTGTTCCTCTCTCCTTTCATGCTTACTGGAGTATTAGGCAAGCAGTGAGTCTACAGTGTAGACTTATTGCCTGAAGGCCTAGGTTTTACTTTAATTCGTAGACTATGCCAAAAAAGCTACCATTTCCAGTCCTTTGAACTTAATGCAATCCAAAGCAAGTACAGTTTTCTGCAGTCGTTATTGAAATGTTATTTACATTGAATTGGAGGGTTCTCTGAATTGGTTTTAGATCGGTCACTCACAGAACCGTAATCCTCATTATGGAGGACAAACCTCTGCTCCGGTGGCGCAGTGGAGATAGTCATGACAACAGAAGTGCATGTATTTGTAAAGCGTAGGTGCTATTCTGAGGAAAATGCTAAAGGCGACATCCTGTAAATGCCTACAGTGCTGCAGTGAATAAAACCTCCTTCTCACCGAGAGGGTTGCAGTTGGCCCCAAGAAGGAGTCAGTGGCTCAGTGACCAGGACTAAGAGGTACGCAGTGTGCACCTTGCACCTCTGTCAGAAATCAGTTGACCATATGTTTGTAGATCCATTTCTGGACCTTTATTCTGTTCTATTGTGTTATATCTTTTTATCTTTACTGACCTCTACTGATCACGATAACTTTATAGTACAATTTAAAATCAGGTTAGGTCCTTCAACTTTGTACTTCTTAAAATTATCCTGATTATTCTAGAATCTTAACTTTTTCATACCCATTTTAGAATCAATTTTACAAAAACACCTGCTAGAATAATGATTGGGAGTGCATTAAATCTATAGATTAATTTGGGAAGAAGGGGAATAATGGCATCTTAACATTGCGTCTTCCACTCCATGAGCATGGAATATCTTTTCTCCAACAACTTTTACAGCTGTAAGTGTAAAGAACTTAGTTGTCTTTTACTGTACTTATTTTTAGCCATTTTTTTTATTGGCTTTAATGTGCCTCTGAGTTTTTTTTTTTTCTTTTTCTTCTATGTCTTACTAGAGGCCCAATGCACAAATATTTGTCACTGGGGATTGGGGGGTGTCCCTCAGCCGGGCCTGCACCCTCTCGCAGTCCGGGAACCCTTGGGGGGTGTCCGCCTGCCAGCTTAGGCCCAATCCAAGCCGGCAGTCAGACATCCCTCTCGCAGTCTGGGGCTCTTGCAGTCCAGGACCCCTCACTCCTTACCACCCACCTTCCGCGGAGGCGGTAGAGGCTCCCGCCACCGCTGCTGGGCTCACAAGCCATGGACGGCTTCTGGGTGAGCGGCACTCCCCCTGTGGGAGCACACTGACCACCAGGGGGCAGCTCTTGCTTGTGTTGAGTGTCTACCCCATGGTGGTCAGTGTGCTACTGGTTGTTCCACCGTTCAGTTGATTTGCATATTATGCTTTTATTATATAGGATAGGATTTCAAAGCCAGGACTATCAGAACAGAGGTCCTTTTGAATAGAAGTGGTGAAAGCAGGCAGCCTTGCTTTGATCTCATGAGAAAACAATTTTGTCTTTCACCATTAAGTATGATGTTAGTGGTTGAATTTTTTTTATTCTCACTTGAGGATATGCTTATTAATTTTAGAGAGAGAGGAAAGGAGGGAGAAAGAGAGAAACATTGAATGGTTGCCTCCCGTACTCACCCCAGCCAGGGATAGAACCCGCAACCTAGATATGTGCCCTGACCTGGAATCAAAGCTGCACCTTAAATCTATTGGTGTGTAGAGTGACACTCCAACCACCTGAGCCACCCACTTACGGCAATGGTCGAATTTTTTTATAGATGCTCTTTGTCAGGTTGATGAAGTTCCTTAATATTTCTAGTTTGCTCAGCATTTTTCATGAACAGATATTGAATGTTGTCAAATGCCTCTTCTCTATCAATTGTAATGATCATAGGCTTTCCCCCCTATATTCTGTTTATCTGGTGAATGTGAATTACATTGATTAATTTTCAAATGTTAAACCAACCTGCATTATTAAGCTAAACCATACTAGGTCATGATGTGCTATCTTTTTTACATCATTGTATTTTATTTGTTTATATTTTGTTAAAAAATATTTGACTCTGTCTTCATGAGGGTATTTTTCTGTATTTTCTTTGATAATTTCTCTGTCAGGTTTTGTATTATAGTTCTACTGGCCTCATAAAATGAGTTAGGCAGTTACCCTCCTCTTTTTAAAATGTTTGGATACTATTGTTGTTATTTCCACTTACTTTAAGTGTGTTTCCCTTTATTTCAGGAAGCATTAATAGCTACTTTATATCTGATATCATAATGTTGGCATTTGTTGATTGTTTTTCTCTTAAGAATTTATCACATTTTTCTTATTCTTTGTGTGTTTAGCAATTTTGAAATGTGCCCTTGATGTTATGAATATTATATTGTTTAGGCTCTAAGTTCCTGTTATATTCCTCTGAATATTGTTGATATTTTTGCTTCAGCAGACAATCAACCTCGTTATATTCAGTTAATTGCTCAAGGTACTGCTGATGTTACAAGACCAGTTATACAAATTAGACTTTAATTTTTTGGATGTTTTTAGTCCTGTTGTTAGAGATGCACTCCAAAGATAAATATGTAAAATCATCTCAGTTGAAAGAGAAACTAGTTGTTGATTGTTCCTCAGTTGGGAAAAAAGTATTAAAAAGGACAAAGCATAGACTAGACAATCTGTCTTTAGCAGGGATCACTCCTAGGATAAGATGGTGTGTATATACTCATTCAGAAAATATTTATTAAGCACCTACAATGTGTCACATACTATTCTGAGTACTGGGAATACAGCTCTGAAGAGCACCATTGGATCCTATCGCCATCACCTTTTACTTTCTCAAGGGCTTTATACCTGCAATTGTCACCTTTTCCTTCTGCATTAGTTTTACTTCTGTACAATACTATTACCATCTATATATGCATGTAATAGCCCCCTATTAGGGGGGAAAACTCCTTTGACCTGAAACCCCCTTTTAGTTACTTCTCTATTCTCTTTTATAGCAACTGTATTTAAGGGTAAACTCAGTATTTCCACTTCTTTTGCTCATTCTCTTTGAACACACTCCAATCATGCTTTTGTGTTCACCACTCGACTGAAATTGCTATTGTCAGTGCCTCATTAAAAATCCATGTTCTGACCAACTCCACCACTTACATCTTAGTGTAGGCTAAGATCGTCTCCTAACTGAGCTCTCGGGTTCCGCCAGTCGCTTCTGCACATAGTAGCAGTCTGTGTATATTTGAGTTTGATTACTGAATGTTTTCCCCACTAAAATTAGAGTAAGGACTTGGTCTGTTTTGTTCACTATTGTCTTCCCTCTCAGACAAGCATGGTCAGGACAGATGTCTCTGAGGAGAGGGCATTTGAGCTAAGAATGAAAGGGAGCCAGCTATGCAAACGTCTAAGATTGCACTCCAGGCAAAGGGAAGGGCCCTCCAGTGGAAATAAGCTTGTCATGTTTGGGGGGGCAATAAGGGCAGTATGTCTAGAATATAGCAAATTATGGAAAGAG